AGCCGCCGCATGGATCATGGAGGTACGAGCGACCTCCATGACTAAGCCAATGCGGCGCTCAGCAACCCCATTCTGCTGCGGAGAGGCCGGAAGCGTGAACGACTGGGTGATGCCGTGCTCCTCACAGAAGGCTCGCAAGAGGTCGGAGGTGAACTCACCACCTCTGTCAGAGTGCAGACGCAAGACAGGAAAGTCCCGCTCAAACCGCTCGCGGAGCTGGAGACGAACAGCGCGGATCCAGGGGATCAGGACAGCAGGGACATCCGCCTTGCGCTGCAAGGGGAAGACCGTGGTGTAACGCGTGTAGTCGTCGACAACCAGCAGGAAGTACCGCTCGCGGCCCTGTCCCTGGATGCGGGCTGGGCCCCACACGTCCAGGTGGAGAGTCTGCAGTGGAGCCTCTATGGGAGGGAACGAGGAGGAGTGAGGAGCGGCGCGCTGCCGCCCCTCGACGCAAGGAATGCAGGGCGGCGCAGGCGAGGGAGGGAGGGCAGGCAGAGACCTGGGAAGACCAGAGACTAGGGAGCGAGAGTGCATGCCACGAAGGCGAGGCAGGGAGGGGTGACCAAGGCGGTGGTGCCACAGGAGAGTGTCGTGCGACAGGCGACGACACTCACACTGGGTAGCTACCTCAGCTGACGCGTACAGCGGAGGAGACAAAGTGGCGTGACGCGACACAGTGGTGAGGGTGTACAGACTGGACCCAGGCGCACGTGTGAACGTGGCCAGGTGGCGGCCGGTCCGAGAGCACGTTTAGTGTGTCACCCGCTGTCCTCCAGGAGTAAAGGTGTCAACCCAGTGATCCTGAAGGACGGCGGTGCTCACCAAGTTCGTAGAGAACGAGGGGAGGTGAAGACCTGACAGCTCACCAGACGGGACTGCCGGACACGGAAGCACAGTGGTAGACCGTGCAAGCACTGGGCCCCCAGAGGGGTCAGCCAGTGAGACAGGGACAGGTGCAGGGAGGGGTGTGACCGTGGTACTGTCGCGAAAGAAACAGCGGGAAGCACCAGAATGAAGTGTAAAGGTGTGCAAGGCCTCAGCAGGTGCAGTACCAGAGAGAGCAGACTCACTAGCACCTAGAGCAGAAGCCGCTATACCAGGGTCAGGGGGCACACACAGGTAACAGTCACCCTCAGAAGTACCAGTCAAAACATACATGGCAGTAAGGATAGTGTCATAGTCTAAGGCAAATATATCTACTCCGTCCTGAAGCAGCTCTAGCCAGAGGGGTAGCTCAGTCTCGTCGCCAAACCGTGCTCGCCAAGCGTCGCTCAGACGGGAGAAGCAGCGGGACTCTGTGTGACTAACTGTCCCGCAAGTCTGACCAGCTCGATCACCTGTGCGAATAACGTACGGGCAGCGAGCAGTAGTCCTACACCCCCAACTCTGAGCGTACCACTCATGCAGCTGCCGGGGCGTAAGGGTCTCGCGCGGGCGCCGCTGCAGCTGCATCTGGCCACCGCCAGAGACTCCGCACTGACCAGCTCCACCACGACTGCTACTACGGCCGCCGCCACCTCTCCGAGACGCACAACGCTGAGCGTACCACGCATGAAGCTGCTGGGGTGGAAGGGTCTCGCTCGGACGCCGCTGCAGCTGGATCTCGCCACCGCCAGAAACTCCGCACTGAACAGCTCCACCGCGACTGCAACTATGGTCGCCGCCACCACTCCCACTGCCGCCACCGCCGCCGCCACCACTCCCACCGCTACTACGAAGGGAAGTCATAGCGGGTAAGCAAGGAGGCGTGCGAGGAGGAGGGCGGTACGGAGGGAAGACAGCAGCACGAGCAGCAGCAACAGCAGTAAGAGCAGTAGAGCGGCCCGGTGAGGCTAGGCTGCAGCACCTCTAGCACTCCTAGCAGCACCTCCACCAGCAGCAGTAGTAGCACGAGCAGGAGGGCGGATCGGGTCGGGTAGGGCGGCTCGGCTCGGCCTGGGCGGCGCGAGCAGCAGGGCGCGCTTCGTGCAGGGCAGCAGGGCGCGACGCGCGGGCTGCAGCAGAGCGCGACGCGCGGGGCTGCAGAGCGCGGCGCGCGGGCTGCCGTAGGGCGCGACGCGCGGGGCAGCAGAGGCGCGACGCGCGGGCTGCAAGGCGGACGGGCGACGCGACGGGCAGGCAGCCCGTACGGGCGACGCGACGGGCTGGGACAGCCCGTACAGGCGACGCGACGGGCAGGCAGCCCGTACGGGCGACGCGACGGGCTGGGACAGCCCGTACGGGCGACACGATGGGCAGGCAGCCCGTACGGGCGACGCGACGGGCTGGGACAGCCCGTACGGGCGACGCGACAGGCAGGCAGGGCGGACGGGCGACGCGACGGGCTGGGACAGCCCGTACGGGCGACGCGACGGGCAGAGGCAGGGCAGACGGGCGACGCGACGGGCTGGGACAGCCCGTACGGGGCGCGCGATGCCAGGCAGAGCAGAGCGTGCGAGGGGCAGCGCAACGCGGGGCAGGGCACGGCGTGCGCGGGGCAGCGCAACGCGGGGCAGGGCAGGGCGTGCGCGCGGGCGGCGCAGCGCAGGCAAGGCAAGGCAAGGCGCGGCGCAGGCAAGGCAAGGCAAGGTGCAGGCAAGGCAAGGCGCGCGCGGGCAGCGCAGCGCAGGCAAGGCAAGACGCGCGCGGGCAGCGCAGCGCAGGCACGGCAAGGCGCGCGCGGGCGGCGCAGCGCAGGCAACACGTGGGGCAGCTCAGTAACCACAACGGTAGGTGGGCCCGAAAAAAAAAAACGGTCCTACGGACCTACTGCTCTGATACCATGTCAGAAAGTACAGGCAGGAATGAATGAACTAGCAGCATGATGGGTACAAGTAGGAAACCCTAATCTGGGTTGTACCCCATATGGGCTACCCCACTACAGCCTACACAATAAGCAGCATATATGTCTGACATGGGCTGTGGTGAGGAGAACCGAAAGCGGAAGCGCTGAAGGACCTGTTGCACCATGTGTGACTGAGTCAGAGTGATGGTGCGAGCGGCTCTGTCCCGGGTGATCTGCAAGCCAAGATAGTTGCGCATTCTACCCAGGTCGCAAGCATCGTACTCAATGTGTCGTGCCACTCGCAAAGCGCCTGGCGGAAACCGTAGACTGGCTGCCAGAGGCTCCACCGGGTACCCTCAGGAAACGACCCAGTAAAGCCAGGTGGGCGGCGCAGCCAGATCTCCTCGTGTAGGCTGCCCTGCAAGAAAGTTGTGCTGAAGTCAAGCGAGTAGAGCTCATAGTCACGTTGTGCTGCAACGTGCAGTAATATCCGAAGAGTGGTAATCTTCGGGGTGGGGGAGAAGGTCTGGAAGAAGTTGACCCTGTGTCGCTGACTGAAGCCTCATGCAACGTAACGAGCCTTGAAGATAGGCGGAGAACCCGGCGGCCGCTTCACCCTGAAAATCCACATGCCATCGACTATGTTCGCCCCAGGTGGGGGAACTGCGTCGACGTAAGTGCCTGTGGACTTCCAGGATGCCATCTGTGCTGTCGGAATTGCTCTGCTCAACCGCGATGGCTCCTGCCTGTTGTAGGCCTTGTCACCCTGACACGCCCTGACACCCACCTTGGCTCACTTTGTGCTCACCCTGGCACCCTGTGCTCCCCCTGGCACCCTGTGCTTACCCTGGATCTCTCGTGACTCTCAAGGCCCCTCCGCTCTCTCCCTTGTGGCCTTCTGCCTTCTCCCCTTGCCCCCTCCGCGGCGGTCTCCGCGCTCCTGCCGACTGCTGCTGGACCTCTCCCTCGTGTGGGTGGTGTGCCTCGGTCTGCCCCTTAGCCCTCGCCACATTCGTGCAATGGTCCGTTCGCCGCTGTCCTTGAGCCCCCATGAGTACCACCACTCCCGAATCCTTGACTTCTTTGACTTTCCAGCGCTCGGTGCTGAGGCCGATGTCCATCAGGTCATGCTTCGCTTGTTTCAGGTATACTTCTTCTCCCGCCCTCAGAGCTCGGTCCTTCTTCCCAGCCTGCAGTTCCCCCCTCTTCTTGTACCTCTGTGCATCGCGCAGCTGGGCCACGTGTAGGTTCTCCAGTGCCGCTGGTAGTAGTTCCCTCAGATACCGGGCCCTGGCTTCCGCCAATCCCACCCAATCCGACTCACTGTCCACCTGCACAGACCCTGTCAGGATCCTCGGCGCGTCCACGGGTAGCACGGGTTCTCTTCCCAGTAAGAGGTAGTACGGCGACAAGTCCTTGAGCGCTGCTTGCTTGCTGAACCGGTACCCAGCAGCTACCCAAGGCAGCCGCGCATCCCAGTCCCTCTTGAACTTTTCTCCGTACGCCCTCAGGCCCCGTTTGATCGTCTGTACGAAGCGTTCCGTGAGCCTGTCACTCTGCGGGTGATAACGGGAGGTTCTCCGGTGAGTGATACCCGTGGCCTGCAGGAGTTTATCGAATTCCCCCATGAACTCAGTCCCCTGATCCGTCAGCACTTCTCCGCACGCCCCGAACCTAGTGAGCACCTGTTCTTCGAACGCTTCGGCTATCTTGGCGGAGTTTTTACTAGGGAGGGCCTTCACCTCGACCCACTTGCTGCCGTGTTCAATCATGATCAGGATGTACCGCTTCCCCCTCCTGCTCAGCGGCATCTCCCCTGCCAAATCCAAGGACCACCGAAACCCAATTCCATGAATGGGCAAAGATTGGAGCTCCTTCCTACCCCTCTCTAGCTCGGCTTTGTTCCTGCTGCACAACTCGCACTTGTCCACCCACTCCCTGATGTCTCTCCGCATCCCATCCCACCACCATCCTGTCTCCACTAACTGCGCCGTGCGCAGGCTCCCGTAATGCCCCAACTGCCGATGCACGTTGCTAATGATCTGCTCCCTTTCTCCTGGCCGCGGGACCAGCTTCCAACCTTCTCGCGTGTTCTTGTGCAGCTGCCCTTGATGCCACCGGAAATGGGCTCCTCGTGCCCGGGCTCTTTCACTGACCGGGGTTTCCTCTGCGGTCTTCCCTTGCACCCAAGCTAGGACCTCATGATCTTCCCAGACATCGGCTGGCCCTTTCCCTATGCCCCGGGTGGCTCCCTTTGCATCTATTTCCCGGGCCAGTGCAACTAGGCAAGCTGTGGGACGGTCAGCCGGTGGATTCCGCGACAGGCCGTTTACGTGCTGCATAGTCTTGCCTGCCCTGTGCCGGATAGAGAAGTCGTACTCCTGCAGGCGCATGGCCCAGCGGGCGTTCCTCCCCGTCAATGCCTGATTAGTCATTAGCCAGGTCAAGGGTTGATGATCTGTGACCAGCTCGAACTGCCTCCTTTGCAGATACACTCGGAAGTGCGTGATCGCCCACACCGCCGCCAGCCCTTCTCCCTCATACGAGCTATAGTTAGCTTCCGCTGGATTGCAGCTTCGGCTGGCAGAAGCTACAACCTTCTCCTCACCCTCTCTCTTCTGGCACAGAATTGCTCCCATACCCGCACTACTCCAGTCGGTGTACAACACAAACGGGTCCTCCTTGTTGGGCAGGGTTAGCACGGAAGCCGTTTTCACGGCTTTCAGCAGCGCGTGCAGTGCCCCCTGCTCCGCCTCCCCCCATTCCCATTTCTGATCTTCCCTTAGCAGCCGGTTGAGGGCGGCGGCTGTCTTGCTGAAGTTCGGAAAGAATCTGCGGTAGTAGTTGAGAAACCCGAGGACGGCTCTCAACGTGCTCCTGTCTTTCGGCCGAGGGACCCAATATAAGACCTCCACCTTCGCTTGCTGTATCCCCAGCTGCCCTCCTTGCACCTCAAACCCCAGGTATTTCACTCCTGTGTTCCCAAAACTGCACTTCTTCGGATGACATGTGAGACCGGCTGCCCGAATGGCATCTAGCGTGGCCTTCACGTCCTTCACGTGCTGCTCCGCGTCTGGGCTGAAAACCACTACGTCATCAATGTAGCACGCGGCGGCTGGTACCCCGCGTAGTATCGTATCCATGGCGCGCTGGAATAGCGCGGGCGCATTCTTCAACCCGAATGGCATGAAGCACCATTCGTACAGGCAGTCTGGTCCATGGAACGCTGTTTTCTTCCGGTCTGCGGGCCGGATGGGGATCTGGTTGAACCCCTGCCGCAAATCGAGGGTGGAGAATACTTTCGCTCCCTGCAGCTTATCGAAGATCTCTTCGGCAGATTGCATGGGGTACCGATCGGCCACAGTGACCTTGTTCAGGCTCCTGTAATCCCCGCACATTCTACGAGCCGAAAATGCTCCCGTTAGACCCTTCCGCGAGGCCACGACAGTGGCGGCGGCGTAGTCGCTTTCTGACCGTTGAATCAGACCAGCGTCCAGCAGCTCGTTACACTTCTCGGTACAAATGTCGATATCTCTCGGGCTCATCCGCCGCTTCCGTTGATACACAGGGACCTCGGTGCTGAGCTCGATTTTCATCTCGTGAGTGTTGCACTTCCCTAGTTCTTGCAAAGTGTAGGCGAAGGTCCCCCGGTGCTGCCGGAGTACTTCTTGCATCGCCGCGGCTGCCTCCGCATCCAGTCCTCCTCCCAATACCCATTCGTCCCCTGGGCCCCGATCTCGCTTTTCCGGGAGCTCCGCTCCCCTGTCTGCCTCTCCCTCTGTCTCCTCGTCCCCCGCCGCCACGGCCATGTACGCGGCCCACCCCGCGTCGATCTTCTCGTCGTACCGAGCCTCAATCATGGCCAGTGACTTCTTCTGCCATGCGACCGCCTCCAAGTCTCGGTATCGCTCACTACACGCGATGTCCCTTTGCAGCTCCTTCACTTTCAGGTGCATCCGCATCGTATCCAGGAGCCAGGTCATGACATTCGCATCCATGGCTCGACCTATAGCCGCTCTGCGCTGCTGCTCGGTTACTTCGGGATGGGCGGTGGCTCCCCACATGTGCCCCATGGCTGCTTCCCGCTCGTTTGCCGTTGGCTGTTCCCAGACCCCCTTTCGTACGTCGTAGATCATTCCTGGTCCCGGCAGGTCCCCTTCCATGCGAAACCCGCGGGCGTCATCGTATGACACCAGCGTAGGCAGCGCTTGCCTAGGCTTGCCAGGCTCGTTGCATTGGTACTGCGACGGATGATCCGCGCATGTCACCGGCGCGGGCAGGCGGTTCGGCTCCAGGATGTCGCTTACTAACCGAGGTTCTGGGCGCTGCATGAGCGCCAGCGAGTGCCGCAACGCTGAGGTTGACATTACGTTCTGCCAGTACCTCCGCGGCCTATGTGACCGGGATCCCAACTGCGCCGCATCCACTGGTACACCCCTCCCCAGGACCCCCACTATCTCCTCAAAAGCTCGTTTCACCGGCTCCCGTTTGTCATCGGCCAGGTCGACGTTCTCCAGAATATACGCCACCTCTCCTTGGCGTCGCTGCAGCAGCTCTAGCACCCTTCTCAGCTCCCGGAACGACGCTCCTCGGGGATCCTCCATCCTTAAGCCTTCCCCCGCTCTCGAGTAACCCTGGCATTCCCAGCCAGCGATCACCAGGTCCACTCGTCCCCACCAGTCCAATACTTCCTCCGAGATCTCTTGCACGTCATGGATTTCCTGCTCTCCTTCGAGTGGGATGGCGTCTTCCCACATCTGGTCCAGATACTCGTCCCGCAGCAGCAGGGCGTGGTGTCGCGCCATCTTGCGCACCGCGGGGTCACGTTCGACATGAATCCATCTCTTGATGGTACATCCGGCGCGCAATGCAGCTGCCAAGCCGGTACCGATTCCCCCGTATAGCTCCAGGACGCGAATGGGGGCATCTAAGGTCTGCACACGACTAACCTTTTCCGTCAGGTCTGGAGGGCTCTGTCCTAATAGCCGCCTCTCGATCCTCCTTTCATATTCTTCCTCGTATCTTTCCCACGGCCACTTTCCAGCTCCTCCGTTAGATCCTGCTTCCGCGCCTGGTACGCTTCCCGGGGCTCCTGCCGCACGAACCGGACTGGCAGCGTGCCTACGGAACTCGCCGGGTCCCAGTACTGCACGCGGAACAACACCTTCTCCTGCCACGTACAGATCGTTGCCCCCACTCGGTACAGGTCCTCCATCCCCACGAGGACATCGTAGTCCTCGGATTCGGAGACGCCGCATTGCAGGCGAATACAGCACTCTTTCTCGGTCCTGGGTAGGAGAGTCACTTCCACGGGCCGCCTCGTCTTCAGCATCCATTTGGGCTCTCCCCCCTCGGCGGTCATGAGTAGGATGCCCCGCTCTATGGTCCGTCCAGCTACATCCAGCTTCAACTGCTTGGCGAGCCCTTTCCCGATCAGCACGTGATGCGCTCCTGTGTCTATGATCGCCTGCTTCACCGGTAGACCACCCACAGTGATGCTGCCTCTCTCGGCGATCAGCACCGACGCCTGGCAGACGAGCCGTTCGTTCGGATGTCGCCTCATATCCGACGACCGTGTTCCTTCAGTCAGGCTATCTCTCCAGCGGGCTCCGCTCGTCACCTCGCTCTCCTGAGATTGGCTGACTCGGGGACGGAGCCGTAGGTCGTCCCTTGCCCGGGGATAGGCCATCGCGGCGTACTCTCGCACGTACTCGTCTTCGCCTTCTGCATCAACTTCATCGTCGACCTCCTCGTATGCCAGCAGTGCCCGCGCTTTCAACCCCACTGGATTGGGGAGCTGCTCCAGCAGTAGTTGAAGCCATTGGATCTCCGCTTGGATCTCTTCCCGAGTACCTCCCGGCCCTTTCTTCGGCCGACTGTAGCATTCCTCCTTCCGATGTCCCCGTTTCCCGCACTGCTCGCAGGTCGGCGCCTTGGGGCAGTCGCGCTTCAAGTGTCCGTGTTCCCCACACGTATGGCAGAGCCGTGCCTCCGCCCGGCCGCTGCCCCCAGAGGGGTTCTCAGGTACAGCTGCAGCCGCCCAAGTAGTTTTCGCCCGACTCCTCCCTTCGGACTCCTCTAAGTCTAGCAGCCTCTGCGCTTGTTCCGTCTTCTTTGCCAGCAGGTTTTCCTCCTTGAGAGTGATATCGGCGCCGATGCCATACACGGTGCTCCGCACCACTCCCTTCAAGTCGTCTTCTAGCCCGCGCACGAACTTCCGTACGAGTAACCGTTCGTCTCTGCTCTCCAGGTCTTCAGCTAGCTCTCGGAGCCGACAGTAGTAGGCTAGCAGCGACTCCTTCCTCATCAGTTGTATGAATCGCGCCGTAGGGTTGGAGATCTCCCCTTCAGCCAATTCCGCCAGGACTTCCTCCCGAGTCAGACGGTAGAACGTCTCCGCTTCGCCGGCCAACGTGCCCACCATTTTCCGGAAGAATCCCGCGGGGTCGTAGCCGTCACGCTCCCAACAGTATTGCACGGTCTTGAGCTGCATGAGATAATTCTTCAGGCTGGGGCCCACGCCCGGGATACCCGTATAGCCTCGGCCACTTCCACCTTGGGCAGGTTCGTCGCCTTCCAACGGCCGCTGCGACTGTCCGAGGCGTCAGCTACCTCAGGATGCTCGGCCGTAATACCGCTAGGCACCAAGGCTCCTTCCAGGCGCTGCTCCGTCACTCAGCCGCCGCTCTGGAGCCCGTTCGGCCCTGCCCTCCCCGATGCTGCAGTCATTCCGGGCATTCCCGTGTGCGGGGTCAGAATCTCCTGATTCTTCCACCGTTCTCATACCATCTCGGTCCAGCGAGCGTCTCTCGGCGTCTCTCCCGGATCTGACGCTACCGTTTGGTCTCTCTCCTTTCTCTCTTCGATAGCTCGCGCTCGTTGATGCGGCGTCCGATATTTCGGGGACTCCGCGCCTGTGCGCCACTTCCGTCGCAATCCGTTTGCAGCGATAGAGTCTGCGCGCCACCCCGCCGTAGGTTTCGAACTCGCTTCGCCTGTGTCGCCCCACAACCTAGTTCGCACGGGGTCTCTGCTATTCATCGGAAATTCTTGCGTGTTTGTTGAAAAGGTCTCTGGCCCTGCCTGTGACGAGCGCTCAAACCCTAGCTCGACAGGCTTGAGCCAATGGTTGAATAAGGCAATGCTTGCGTGGGTAGGCTTCTCGTTGCTTAGGCTTCGCTAATTTGAGGATTGCAGCATTAAGCATAAGTGTGAAAACAAACACGCAAGCATCTGCTCTACATTGTATGCTTGCCTAAGTACCTCCGCATGGTTACCGTTATCCCAACGGTTCCCCTTTTTCGCCCGCCAAGTTCTGTGGTGCGGATCGTTTGCTTCGTTTCTGGCCGCCTCTATCCTTATCCTCCCTACTAGAGACTTCACTTCCTCCTACTTGTTACGAAGATATATCTATTGCCTACACAAAGATTAGAAACGTGACAGTGCGTCCATGGCCATCTGCCACTAAGAGGAGTAAGGACCCGTGATCGCCTCTGTGAAAGAGCGTGGGGTCGGGATGTCTAGTGTATCTGGGTCTCCTTCAGGGGCAAGCAGCATGGCAGCGAGATAATGTACAGCAGCCGCAAGACACTCGAGCTCAAACTGCTTGTTCTTAAGGACGTCCATGCTAAGGGCACACTCACCTTCAACGGACGGAGGACAATAAGACGCAGACTCTCTGACAAGACTCGCAAAGTAGTCGAGACGACACGCAACAGCAAAGTCAACGACCTCACTGACCAAGGCAAACACAGCACCAGACTCAAAAGTAGGGTCAATGACAAGTGTGGCTAGTATATGTGTGAAAGTAGGACTAGCAGCACGAGCAAGGTCAGACTCAAGGTCAAGAACGTCAGGCAGAGAGGACGCTGGAGGAGACGGCAGAATAGGACGCTGTGCAACAGAGGAAGGACGAAGTGCCATAGTGTGTGTGCTAGGGATAGGCAGAGGACGAACACGACGAGCACTACGGACAGTGCGAACAGGCGAGGCAGGACGAGACGCAGGCTCACGACGCTCTGTCAGGGAGTTTGTCTGCGCAGTCTAAGGAGAAGGAGCAGGCAGAGGAGAGTCAGGCAGTAACTGTAGCAGAGACGGGTCAGGCGGAGGACACAGGAAGGGAGGGGTGAGGCCAGTTGAAGACGGAAGACTAAGAACCTGGTGAGGTGCCGAGCCAGGTGGTGGCAGGGACGACTGAGGCTGCTGCCAGAACAACGGTCGTCGCTGCACAGGTCACGTAACACCCCCATAACTAGAACCTCCACCTCCAGAACCTCCAGGTCCAGAACCTCCAGCTCCAGCACCTCCAATACCAGTAACTCCAACCCCAGAACCTCCAGCTCCAGTACCTCCAGCACCAGAGTCTCCAGCCCCAACACCTCCAGCACTAGTAACTCCAGAGCCAAAACCTCAGGTCCAGTACCTCCAGCACCGGAGCCGCCAGCACCCGTGTCTCCAACTCCTGAATCTCCATCTCCAGCACCTCCAGCACCCGAGTCTCCAGCTCCAGCACATGCAGCACCAGTAACTCCAGCACTAGCACCTCCAGCACCAGCACCCCCAGCACCAGCACCTCCAGCACCGTCATACTCGGACGCAGGAAGTGGCATCCCCGACCGCCGCTGCTCCCAGTACAAAGGACGACGCTGCAGAGGTGGCAGCACACCAAGAGAAACTCCAGTAGGAGAACTGTCGACCCCACCACCACTAGGACGCTCCGCACCCCCAACGCCAGCACCTCCAGAGTCAGCACCTCCAGAACCAGCACCCCCAGACCCAGCACCCGCAGAACCAGCACCTCCAGAGTCAAAACCCCCAGAACCAGCACCCCTAGAGTCCGTGCCTCGAGTGTCACCATCCCTAGCAACACCAGAGTCTACTGCTACAGGCTGCGAAGGCGGTGAAGACGGTCGATGCAAAAAACCAGGAGGGTTCTCCAAGCGCAGTGAGCGGCGAATGGCTGTTGTGTCGTTAGCAGCAGGGTCACCCCCCTCAGCTGGGCCAGAAGTGTCAAAGGAGACCTCTAAAGGCTCAACCTGAGACACACTTGAGGGAGCAAAGTTCTGCGGGGGAAAGGGGTCTACCTGGGGGGGACCTGGAACCAGGAAGAGAGGAGGAGGGGGGGACGGGGGAAGTGCTGTGGGGGAAGAGACGGCAATAGCAAACCGACTCGTCAAAGGTGACGTTCAGGGGGGACAGGAGATGACGCGAGGCTAGGTGGTAATGCTGCCAGCCAGGCTTGTCGGTGGGAAAGCCAAGGAAGACGCAGCAAACTGTGCAAGAAGAGAGCTCGCGGTGGTATCGCAGACAAGGGCAAGCGAACCCTAGACCCGAAACGTGGACGCATCGAACCTTCCCTGTCCAACGCAGTGTAGGCGAGGTCTCCGGCAAGGAGACACGGGGCCAGAGGTTGAGCTGATGCGCGGCGTATCGGACCGCAAACGGCCACAGAAAATGGGGGGCAACCGCATGGATCATGGAGGTACGAGCAACCTCCATGATCAAGAGGCCATTGCGACGCTCAGCAATCTCATACTGCTGGGGAGAGGCCAGAAGAGTGAACGACTGGGTGATGCCCTCTTCACGACAAAAGTCCTCAAGGAGGCAGGAGGAAAACTCACCACCTCGGTCAGAGTTCAGTCGCAGGACCGGGAGGTCCTGCCAGAACCGGACGCGCAGCTGGCGACAGACAGCGCGGATCCAAGGGATCAAGACACTGCGGACATCTGCCTTGCTCTCCAAGGGGAAGACAGTGGTGTAGCGCGTGTAGTCATCAACAACCAGCTGAAAGAAGCACTCTCGATCCGGTCCATTGACGCGGGCGGGGCCCCACACGTCCATGTGGAGAGTCTGCAGAGGAGCAGTGGTCGGAGGAAACGAGGAGTGAGGAGCGGCGCGCTGCCGCCCCTCGACGCAGGGAAGGCACGGCGGCGCAAGCGACCGAGGGAGCAGGGGCAGGGACCTGGGGAGGCCAGAGACAAGGAGACGGGAGTGCATGCTACGCAGACGCGGCAGGGAGGGGTGACTTAGACGATGGTGCCAGAGGAGAGACGGGTGCGTGAGTAACCGACACGAGCAAGACGTAGCTGCCTAACCGGACGCAGCTACATGTGCAGACTCAGTGGTCAGTGTATACAGGCCAGACCCGTGTCTCCCCGTGAATATGGCGAGGTGCTCGTCAGTACGTGAGTCCATACAGATCGACACAAGCTCACCCCTAGGAGTCGTGGTAGTGACCAACTAGTCCTGGAGGACAGCCTGACTCACCAAGTTTGTAGCAAACGAGGGGAGGTGAAGACCTGGAAGGGAGCCAGAGGGGGCTTTCGGACAAGGGAAAACAGTGGAGGCACGTGCAACGACTGGGCCCCCAGAGTGGTCAGCCAGAGTGACCGAGAGAGTAGCAGGAAGCGGTGTGACTGTGGTGCAGTCGCGGAAGAAGCAGCAAGATGCGCCTGAGTCGAGCGTGAAGGTGTGCAAAGCTATGGCAGAAGCTGCACCTGTGCTGGCAGGCTCACTGGCACCTAGACTCGCAGTCTCTACACCACTAAATCTAGACAAACACGAGTAACAGTCACCCTCAGCACTAGTAGAAGCATAATATATTCTAGAGATCTTGTCCCAATCAAGAGCAAACACATCAATCCCCTTGTTGAGCAGTCATAACCAGTTCAGTGTCTCAGCATCGTCACCAAACTCGTCACGGAAGGCATCCTCAAGCCAACAGAAGCAGCGATACTCAGTGTGTCCCATCTTGCCACAGGGCTCACCAGCGCGCGGACCTGTGCGCCTAACGTGCGGGCAACGACCACTACCCCCAGAAGAGCCACGCTGGACAACCCACTCACGAAGCTGCTGGGGCATGAGAGTCTCCTGCCGTCGTGACGGCTGCTGCTCTCCACCCCCCGAGCCTCCACCGCCACGAGCTGCACCCCCAGACGCCACCCCAGTGCCTCCACCCCTACCAGCTCCACCGCGACCGCCACCCGAGCCTCCTCCGCCCACCCCACCGCCTCCACCACTCCCGCCACCTCCACCACCGCCACCAACTCCTCCACCCCCGCCGCCAGCACCGCCACCACCCCCGCCATCACCACCCCCACCACCCTTACCCCCCTTGCCCTTGCCACTGCGGCGCCTCCCACTAGGAGCAGACGCAGCCCCGACCTCCTCAGCACGAAGGAAGTCAACAGCAGCAGCAAAGGTAACAGAGGGCACAAGAAGGGAGGGGGAGCACCCCTCGAGAAAGGAGGGGAGGGGGGTGCCACAGGAGGCGGCAACGACGCGGGCACTAGTCTCAGCCTCAAGGAGATGAGCCTCAAGCGAGTCAAGCGTGAGCTCAGTGGGGTCGAGGGAGAGGAAAAAGGTCCCTAACAGCGGCGGAGAGAGTCACGGAGGCGAGTGACGAGGAGGTAAAGAGCAATGTACATGGGGGGCGGGTTCGCAGCAAGGAAGGTCGGTTTGAGAGCAGGACGGTAGCGAACGTCAGTAGAGCGTAGGTGGGTGATAAGATCAGCGACGGTGGGAAGTCTGACAGCTCAGGAAAGAGATACGGCATAATGAGACAGCCTAGGGCAGCAGTAGAGGGAAAAGAGTAGCGTTTGACGACGGCATCATAGAGTTCGTTGGCCCTCTTCTGCTGACTGAAATGGGGCCTCTCATCTAGGGGGAGGTGGTTGCAGACAGCAAGGCAGTAGCGTCGCGCGTGAGCCACTGGGAACGAGCTACACGGTCAACTGTCTCAGCTGGGGCGGGAAGGGACCCCGACGTATGCTCATACAGTGTCGCATCGTCCCTAGCTACACTCTGCAGGTACAGCTGGAGATCTTCTAATAAGGAGTCAAACTGGATCGGATGACCTTCCGCGTCATAACAAGGTAAGCACAGTAATGGTTGCCATAGCAGGCAGTAGTAGCAGCAGCAATGGCAGCAGCGGCAGCAAGGGCGCAGGGCAGAGCAACGCGGGCCAGGGCAGGGCCACGGTAGTGCGGCAATTATTTCTGGGAGTGTTTGACAAGTGCGGCAATTATTTCTGGGCTGACCAGCCAAAAAAAACCAATTTCGAAACCTCCTTTGAGGTTGGAAGGGTTTGGCTGCTTGTCGAACAAGGCCAACCTCCTTTCTAAGCATTACTCTCTCACAATCACTTTCTTGAATGTCTGGAAACTTGCCACATACATTCCGATGTTGACCTGATCCCAGTCTTGGCTTATACGTGCTGCCTCATTTGTAATGTTGTCCTTACAGTCAACATTAGAACTATAAATGCCATTTATACAAAGGCGGCCACTGCAAACTGGTACGCTTTTATTTTGAAAGTTATAAAAAGCATTCAACGATGTAGGTATGATAACTTTTCATCTTGGAGTGACATTTGTATAAGAGAATGTGTAGAAGCATTACCTATGTTATAGTGCTTGTATATCAGGCACAAAAAAGTGCCAAAAAAATCGATTTTACACATGTAGGTATCTCCTACGTATAAGAATATGGTATATATGCATACAAGTGTACTATGAAATAATAGTCAACATACCGTATAGTCAACAGGGCAATGGGAACAGTAAGAAAGTGTTGCAGAGTCATACATTATTCCTGCTGTATCAGGATAGTGTCAGAATGTACTACGCTTGAATGATTGCACTAGATGGGAATGAGAGTACAAGTGGTAAACCCCAAAAGGGTTGTACCCTATATGAGCTACCCCACTACAGCCTACACATATATATCAGTTTTGACACACCCCTACATGCAAAGTGAGGGATAGCAAGAACAACCAATGGTAACAAGACCAGTCAAAAGCAACAGAACAAAGCTCAGGGTGGATCACAAAGTCACCACACAGTCCGACCACAAGGCAAGTTCACATGCAGAGTTATAAAAAGCACAAACAGTATAGTAATCACAACCTAGCAAAGGTGAACATGCAGGTATGTATGTATAGATCACAGTACAAAGCAAAGTCAAGTAGTAAGCAGGTGCGGCAGAGTAGGCACAAGGCCTAGAGCAGTGCAGAAACGCTGATGGTCACCAAACACAAGTGCCTTGGTGAAAACATCAGCAGTCTTGGCCCGTAAGGCCACAAAGGCAAGACGAAGCTGACCACGCTACTGCAACTCTCGTGCGAGGAAGTAACGCAGAGCGATATGCTTCATTTTGTGCTCCTGTCTGTGCTCTTGACACAAGGCAATCATGACCTTGTTGTCGACGTACAGAACTGGAGGAGAACGAGGTCGCTCTCCCAAGTCGGTCAGCAGGTAGGTCAGCCAACGAACTCCTGCGCAGCCGTGGCCCCCGCGTAGATTTCAGCCTCACAACTGGAGCTGAGAACAGAAGACGAGCGGGTAGACCTCCAAGAAACTGAGCCGGAGCCAAGGCTGAAGGTGTAACCCTGTGACAATCGCTAAGTAGCATGGTCGTTTGCCCAAGAAGCGTCTGAGTGTCCAGTGAGTACAACTGGACCCCCTCCTCAAAGCACGAGCCCTATGCCCGATGTACTGCACAAGTAGCACAACACCCTCTTAGCAGCCGGCCAGTGCTCTGGTCGGTGTCTCCCGGGCGCAACGTAGCGTGCCAGGATGCTGAGAGGGTATGCTAGGTCAGGTCAAGTGCATGTCATTAGGTACATTAGGCAGCCCACAAGCTCTGGATACGGACCACTCGGCTCTACGGACTCGTCCAAAGGTGGAGCTAATTGCGAGTGACCAGTAGGCGAAGGAGTGGACTGTGGCGAGGAGAACTGGAAGCCGAAGCGCTGAAGGACCTGGTGTACCTTGTGTAACTGAGTCAGGGTGATGGTGCGCCGTGCTCTGTCCCGAGTGATCTGCAAGCCAAGATAGCTGCGCAGCTCACCAAGGTCAATGCAGGTGTGTCTCTTCTGCAGCTCCGACTTCACAAGGGCCAGTGGGCGGCGCAGCCAGATCTCCTCGTGCAGGCTGCCCTGCAAGAAAGCTGTGCTGAAGTCAAGAGAGTGGAGCTCGTAGTCACGCTGTGCTGCAACGTGCAGTAACACCTGAAGAGTGGTCATCTTCGGGGTGGGGGAGAAGGTCTGGAAGAAGTCAACTCCTTGTCGCTGACTGAAGCCTCGTGCAACGTAACGCGCCCAGAAGACAGGCGGAGAACCCGACGGCCGCTTCACGCGAAAAATCCACATGCCATCGACTATGTTCGCCCAAGGAGAGGGACCTGTGTTGACGTAGGTGCCTGTGGACTTCCAGGATGCCATATCTGCGTCCATGGCTGTCTGCCACTGAGAGGAGTACTGACCCAAAATTGCCTCTGCGTAAGTGCGCGTGGTCGGGATGTCCAGTGCATCCGGGTCTCCCTCATGTGCAAGCAGCATGGCAGTGAGATGAGGTATAGCAGCGAGCTCAAACTGCCTGTCCTGAAGGACGTTCGTGCCAAGGGCACACTCACACCCGACGGACAGAGGACAGCCAGACTCAGACTTAGTGACAAGAACAGCAACGTAGTCGAGACGACACGCAACAGCGAAGTTAACAAGCTCAGTGACCAAGGCAGACGCAGCAGCAGACTCAAAAGCAGGATCGGTGACAAGTGTGGCTAGAAGATGTGTGACCGTAGGACTAGCAGCACGAGCAAGGTCAGGCTTAGGGTCAGGAACGTCAGGAAGTGAGGACGCCGGAGGAGACAGAAGAGGGACACGCTGTGGAACAGAGGAAGGACGAAGTGCCATAGTGTGAGTGCCGGGGACAGGAGGAGGACGAGGATGAGGAACACGACAACCAGTGCGAACAGCGCGAGCCGGCGAGGCAGGACGAGACGCAGGCTCACGACGCTCTGTCAGAGAGTCTGTCTGCTCAGCGTATGGAGAAGGAGCATGCAGTGGGGAGTCTGGCGGTAACTGTGTCTTCGACAGGTCAGGCGGTGGGCACAGTAAGGGAGGTTTAAGGCCAACAGAAGACAGAAGACAAAGAACCTAGCGAAGCACCAAGCCAAGTGGTGGCAGTGACGGCTGCAGCGGCGGAAAGAAAAATGGCCGCCGCTATGCAGTACCCACTGTACCAGAGCCTCCAACTCCATTACCTCCAGCACCAGCACCTCCAGCACCTCCAGCAGCTCCAGTGTCTCCAACACCAGTACCTCCAGCTACAGCGCCTCCAGCACCAGGACCTAAAGCTCCGGTGCCTCCAGCACCATTACCTCCAGCGCCAGCGCCTCCAGCACCTCCAGCACCTCCAGCACCAGCAGCTCCAGCACTAGTGCCTCCAGAACCAGCACCCCTAGACTCAGCACCCCCAGACTCAGCACCGCCAGAGTCGCCACCCGCACTGTCCGTACCCCCAGTGTCACCACCCCCAGCGTCACCGAAGTCGACAACAACAGTGTGCAGAGGCGGCGAAGACGGCCGAGGTGGAAAATCAGAAGGGGTCTCCAAGTGCGGTGAGCAGCGAGTGGCCGCTGTATCGTCAGCAGCAACGTCACCCCTCTCAGCTGGGCCAGAGGTGTCAGAGGTGACCTCCAAAGGCTCAACCAAGGGGGGTGGGTCTACCTGAGACACACCTGAGGGAGCAGGACCCTGAGGGGGGAGGGGGTCTATGGGTGGGGGACCTGGAGCGAGGAAGAGCGGCGGGGGGGGGAGAGGGGCAATGTTGTAAGGGAAGAGATGGTAGAAGCAAACCGGCTCATCAAAGGTGACGTCCTGAGATAATAGGACACGGCGCGAGGCGGGGTGGTAAAACTGCCAGTGAGGCGCGTCTGTGGGAAAGCCAAGGAAGACGCAGGGAATGGCGCGAGAAGAGAGGTTGTCCGCGGTGGTATCACGAATAAGGACATGCGAACCAGACCCGAAACGCCGACACATCGCCAATCTCCCTCGTCCAACGCAGTGTAGGTGAGGTCTCTGGCACGGAGACACGAGGCCAGAGGTTGAGCTGATGCGCGGCGTATCGGACCGCAAACGGCCACAGAAAATGGGGAGTAGCAGGAAGGACCGGTCGGTTCAGCAGGGCGGCGCAGCTCAGGTAGGGCAGCATGGCTCGGGTAGGGCGGCGTGGCTTAGGTTGCTCAGTGCGGGTCGGAGCAGCAGTGAACCAGCAGCTGCCGCAAAGACAGGGCACGCCGCAGGGCAGCGCGCGGGCTGTGTGGGCGCGCGCAGGGCCGTTCGCGGGCTGTGTGGCAGCGCGCGGGCTGTGCGGGCAGTGTGCGGGCCGTGCCCTGGCTGTGCGGGCGGCGCGCAGCCATCGCGCGGACCGTAGGGACTGCGTACGGGCGTGGCGCGGGCTGTACGGGCTGCGCGCGGGCCTGGCGCGGGCTGTACGGGCTGTGCGCGGGCGTCACGAGGGCTGTACGGGCTGCGCGCGGGCTGTACAGGCTGCGCGCGGCGCAGGTAGGGCAGGGCAGGGCAGTTCGCGGGCGAGGCGAGCACCGCGCGGGCAGCGCAGGTAGTGCGTGGGCAGCGGGCGCAACGTACAGGCAGGGCGCGCGGCGAGCACAGGCAGCACGCGTGCCGGCAGCGCAAACAGGACGCGAGCAAGGCAGCGTGCGGGTCGCGCGCTGGGCAGCAAGGAGGCGGCGCGCGGCGCAGGGCAGAGCGCGTGCGTCAGCGCAGGCAGGGCAGCGTGAGAGACGCTGTTCAGGGCAGGGCAGGAACGAACGGGCAGGTCGGAGCTAGCGGTGTGCCCTAACGGAGTGGTCCTACGGATGGACCTGCTCTGAAACCATGTCAGAATGTACTACGCAGGAATGATCGCACTAGATGGGAATGAGAGTACAAGTGGCAAACCTAAAAGGGTTGTACTCGATATGAGCTACCCCGCTACAGCCTAAAACATAAATATCAGTTTTGACGGATAGTACAAGGCACTTTAACTAGAACAATAGGTTTCTTGCTGTTGGACAATAGTTTTGCCAAAATTTGTGCCATCTTACGGTAATACTGGCACCAAAATATATGTTCTCACGTGTTTGATGTGTGTCGACAGTCGTTGGAGGCTGAATTTTTCTGCCGTAAAATTACAAAAATTATTTATATACAGAAATGCATACATTCTAAAGTTTAGGCACATACGGTAATGTACATGCAACCGAAAAAAGGCACGGATGTTTTTTCATTGTTTTTTTTATAATGCTGAAGTGCATTAATGTTTTGACAGCGAAGGGATGTGCACTTTGAGTAAGAAAGTCCATTCATATGGTATGATTGATTGAAACTGTATGGAGACACCTGGTGCCGTGCCATGCTATTAGTCTCTGCTTATTAAGCACCAACCAGCCTACAGGACACGGTGTATGGAAACAGCAAGCGCCGCCAATAGTCAGAGATCCAAGCAGCACAAGCTATTTAACCCTGTTGAGAAGTCTTACTCTAAAATTTTCATACGACTTTTCTGTTTGGTGCTTGAATGGGTGCAAGGATGGGCCTTTTGAGGCACCTCAAAAGCTGACGTTTCCATTCAGTTCACTGGCTGCGGCGGAGGCTTTACTTCCATCAACAAGATGACAGGTGATGTCGCACAGCTGCTGCTGGAACAGTGCTGAATGAGTGGCATAGACGGGACTTTTGGGGCTCCTCAAAAGCTGAAGTTTCCATTCAGCTCTTGGAAGACCAAGTCCTCCTCCACAAGTTATTCCTTGTGATGTCACACAGCTGCTGCCACGGTTGCTTGAATGGGTGGGGTGGAAAAGCTTCGTTTCGTGCCTTCCCCCAGTCCTGCAGGATTGTTAGGTGGAAGGAGAGGAAAGAGCTGCAGTGACCTTTCCAGTTGTGCCTCGTTAGGTGTTACTTTATTTCCACCCATCAACCAACCCTGACGCTTCCTCCTCATCCCCCTGTCTCCCTCCTTTTTCCTCATATCCTCCCCCTCTCACAATTCAACGCTGCCCTTATTCCAGGAAACAGCACCTCATGCCTATAGCTGGGGAGTGAGAAAGCTGATAGCAACTGGAACTGTCTTGCACTCCCCATCCCTTTCATCATCCTCCTCTCCTCATCCCTGATCTTCATTCTCTTCCACTCCCCCGTGTCCTCCTCCATCCCTCCCCCTCATCCCCCTCCTCCCCCCCCTCTCCCCCCTGTATCCCTCATCACCGCACTCTCTGCATTCCCTTCAGCAACATCATATCATACCAACTCTGCCACAAAACTGGTGGAAAGAAATAAGGCCTTCACAAATACTGCTCTCCTCCTCATCCCGCACCCCGCATCCTCATCCCTCATCCCTCAGCCCTCAGCCCTCATCCCTCGTCCCTCATCCCACATCCCTCGTCCCTCATCCCGCATCCCTCATCCCTCATCCCTCGTCCCTCATCCCTCATCCCTCGTCCCTCATCCCTCATCCCTCATCCCTCATCCCTCATCCTTCTTTCCCCCGAATGCCCTCGCTCATCCAAACTCATCCTTCTTCCACCTCACTACCCATGCGGCAAAGCCTTCATCAGACCCTGCTCTCTCTCTCTCTCTCTCTCTCTCTCTCTCTCTCTCTCTCTCTCTCTCTCTCTCTCTCTCTCTCTCTCTCTCTCTCCACCCACTCCCCTCATCCCTCCCTCTCATCCATCACTCCCAGCATCCCAGGGCATGCCACCACCTGGCCAGAGAAACCCTCACCAATTTCCAGGTGAAAGAAGTGAAAGGCCAGGAAGAGGCATGCCCTGGGATGCTGGCTGAAAGAAGCGAATGTTTGAGATGTCTAACAGATTCACTTCTTTCACGTGCACATCCCTCCCCCTCATCCCTCCTCCTCATCCATTACTCTCAGCATCCCAGGGCATGCCACTACCTGGCCAAGAAATCCTTCAACAATCTCCAGCCCCCACCCTCACCCTCCTCCCACTTCCCTCGGTCTCATCCCTCCTTCTCATCCCCCTGCTCACCCCCCACATCCTCCATCTTCCCCCTGCTCACCCCCCACATCCTCCATCATCCCCCTCTCATCATTCATCTCTGCAAGCATTCCAGGAAAAGGCACCTCAATGACCCGGCTGCAAGTCCTTCAACATTCCTGCTCTCCCTTCATTCTCATCCCTCACATGCTTTCAATTCATCACCCCCTTGCGCCCACCCTTCCCTCCCCCCATGCCCTCCATCGACCACGCCCTCATCATGCACCTCTGCCAGCATCCCAGCGGATCGCCCCTCAATGAGTGAGCAGGCCGCATGTCATTCAACACTTGCTGCTCTCTCCCCTCACCCTTCTCCTACTCCCATTCATCGCTCCCCCTCATCCCTCCTCCTCACCCGCATGCTCCCCCCTGATATCCTCCATCATCCCCCTCTCAGCATTCATCTCCGCCAGCATGCCAGGGGAAGGCACCTCAATCTCCTGAGCAACCAGCTGCCATTGGTCCACACCACCCCGGCCAATCGCATTGCTCGACGAGTCGGTAACCCCGGGAGTGGCCCACATAGGTACGGCGCCTACGTCGACCCAAGAGCCTAGGCTCGGCATGAACGAGCCTCGGTGGGGGCAGTCTATAAGCAAGCCGCTATCTGCGGCTTCGTCTCTCACGGTGCTGCCTGCTGCTGCCGAACCTGCAAGTGCTGCCGCCGCTGCCGCTGCTGCTGCTGCTGCCGCTGCCGCTGGTCCTGCAAGTGCAGCTGCTGCTGATGCTGTAGCTGCCGCTCCCATCAGCGTGACTGTTATGGGCGTTAGTGTTACGGGTGGTGCAGCTGGGTCGGCTGCATTTGGCATGATAGATGAAGCCTGAGCTCCTCGCAAGGCTGCTTCTGTGGTCGTTTCTGTTGTGGTTGCTGTAGTGGCCGCTGTTGCTGTTAGTGTTGCACCTCTATTCTCTTGCTGCTGCGCACCTGCTTTCTCTCCTCCCCAGGTAGGGTCGACGTGCATTCCTCCTCTGCTATCTCGATTCGTATTTACTCCACCCCTCACCTGCTGCCCTTGTTGCCCTTGCCGATGCTGTTGCCAGTCTCCCTCCTGCTCTTGCTGCTCCTGCTGCTCCTGCTGCTCCTGCTGCTCCTGCTGCTCCTGCTGCTCCAACTCCTCTCCCTGCTGACACTCCCCCCTCCGCACTCCACCAACCACCCGTGCTGAGCGATTCGGACTGCAAGAACGCTCCTCCTCGTTGCCAGTGCAACCTCCAGGCAAAGCTGCCACGGTAGATGGCCGGGCCTCTGGATCTGCCTGAGATGGCGGACTCACACCAGTGCTGCTCTCCTCTGCCCGACCCAAATCCCCTGTGCTCTCCCTCCCGCTCCTGCCCTCCCTCGACCCTGACCGTAGCTCACGTCCGGCCGAACCTCCATGGTCGGGTGTTTGGAACTGTTTGCTCCTTCCGCTTTCCCCTGATCCTGCCAACCGTTCCTCCTCATCTCTCCCGGTTTCCATATCGACAGCAGCAGCATCATCAGCACCACCACCACCAGTACCACAACCAGCAGCAGCAGCAGCACTGTGTGTATGTTCCTCTGGGTTTCCAGGCCAAGAGGCGGGCAGCAGCTGCAGGGATGAGCTTGGGACACCACCAGCAGTAGCATTTGTTTCCATCGCACCACCAGCACTACCACCAGCAGCAGCATCACCACCAGCAGCACCAGCAGCGGCAGCACCAGCAGCAGCAGCAGCACCACCAGAACCAGGATTGGCAGGCGGGGCAAGCGGGGAGGTGCCACTGAGTGCCGGCAACGGTGACCCTACAGCTCCAATCGCCCCTCCACACGAGTCCACGCCCATGCCATCATGCACTATCGTGATCGTAACCGGCCGGGGCGGCGGCTTGGCATGGTTATGCTCCGACATGTACTTAATTCTCCAGTTTGACGGGTTCTCATTGCACCTCTCAGCCCATTTCTTGGCCATGCACGGGGGCCCGCCGCCCCGGAACGCGCACCGGAAATAACTCCGCGGGTACAGCTGCCCGAGTGTAGCTTTCTGCCCGTACTTGCGCCACTCCCAGCCGTCCGCAGGGATTTCGGCGGCGGCTGGTTTTGCAGGTGCGCGCTGCCGCTTGTGGGGGATGAGGGTTTGACCCTCCTCCTCTGCTGCTCGCTTCCTGTCTGACTCTCCGCCATGGCCTATCAGACCAGCCCTTGAGTACCCAACAGCTGCCAAGCCAGAAGCAACTGCAACACCACCACCACCACCACCACCAGTGCTAGCAGCTATGCCACCGATTGCACCAGCAGGAGCCCTGTTGTTGCTGCTGAACCTGGGGAATGCTGCATGGCTGCTTATGTTCCCAGGCGCAGCAGCCCTGCCAGCATTTGCGGCACTGGAAAGATTGTTCCTATGGTGGGTTTGATGGCCGTCCGGAAACTGACCGTCTGCTGCTGGTGCTGATGGTGGTGGTGTTGCTGCGGCTGCAGCTGCAGCTGCAGCTGCAAGGCTGATTCCACTGCCGCTGCCACCACTGACATTAGAACCCCCTCCTTGCTGGTTCCCTACTGCTGCCTCCTCGTTCGCCCCTCCTACTCCCACCCCCTCAGCCCCTCCTGCGCCATCCAACCCGCCTGCAACTACTAGCCCCTCTCCTCCATCCCTCCCGTCTTGCAGCAAAGCAAGCGCCTGCCTGATGAGATTGTCCCCCAGTGCTGTCTCAAGTCGCACGCGCGCAGCCAAATCATCCACCTCCCCCGCCCTCCCTCCCCCTCCTTCTCTCCCTTCCTCTCCCCTTCCCCCTCCTCCCCCTCCTTCTCCCCCCCCACCTCCCCCCACCCCTCCGGCTGCTAATTCTGCTCCCCGCGCGTACGAGAAAGGAGGAGGCAACGATCCCCCGGGAAGGGGAACTGCGCTGGCAAGAGCTGACGCGCCAGCATGAGCAGCAAAGGAGTTAGTAGCGAATCTCCAATCGCCACTTCCCATGGGCAAGGAAGCATCGCCAGAGGCAGACACACCAGCCAGATTGACATACCCGTGCAGCGAGTGGTTTTGTGGGTTCCAGATGTAGCGGGGATCCAGAGGACTCTGGCCCTGTGCTTGCCACTGTGTTGCTGCTGCCGCTGCTGTTGCAGCAGCTTCTGCTGATGATGGTGATGGTGGTGGGGGTGATGATGTTGCATCTGCAGCTCCTGCCTGTTGCTGCACACCTGCTGGCGTTGGCATCATGTACATTTGTCCTGGTGTTGTGGGGTTGTCTATGTTAGCTGCAGCTTCGTGCGTAGAAACCCTTGTGTCTGCACCCTCTGCCGCTCCTGCAGCAGGGGCAGCGGCGGTGGCGGTGGCGCCGGCAGCAGGGGCAGAGGCTGGAACTCGCTGGCCGGAAGCATTGCGAGGAGATTTGCTGGCGGGGACGGACGACGAGCCAAGAAGAGACTGACACGTGGCGAGCGATGAGATGGCAGCCTCCACGAGATCTTGAGCCTCTGTCACGTCGCTGGTAGGGTTGGGGTTTGTGGGGAGAAAGGGTTCAGATTTTCTGGTCGAGTCAGAAAGAGTCAGAAACTGACTGCCCTGCCACATCACATGACGAGCGATGAGATATGGCAACTTCCACGAGCTCCTGGGCCTCTGACACGTCACTGGTAGCGTTGGGGTTTGTGGGGAGAAATGCGGAGAGGAACGCCGGGCTTGGTGTGTGTCGACTCGAAGCAAACCCATGAGTCTACACGCACAAGGGTTTTAGAAAACTGCTGCTGTACATATTGATCCAATAACCCTTGTTTCAACCAGAGGTCCAGGAGCGAGGCGATATACTGGTATCAGAGCCGAGGGTTTGAGTCCTAGCTGGCCACTGCACGACCGAGTGGTTGTAGTTAAAGCCCAAATGTGATAACCCCGTGGGGATACCCCAGCCCCTGGGTCACATTTTGAAGCGACACTTTTTGCAGAGGCCGTGTAGAATGCGGCAGTGAAACGTTTTGCCATGGATCTGGTCCGTCCAGCAAAATATGAGGTTCCGGAGGGCGCGGGGAAAGGGGTTGAGGTGCGGGGGGAGTGTGGGGGGGGTGTGGAGGGGGGGGGAGGGGGAGGAGGGAGGGTGACCCTGATCCAACAAGGAAAGGTTGCACCCTTTGCACCTTTGCGCAACGAAGTGACCATGATCCAGTGACCATGACCTTGAAGGCACGGGCTCTGTAAAAAGGGTGGCTCCAAAATGCAGCCACGAAGCAGGGGTATCCCCGAGGGCCCTCTCCCCAAACAACCTTCCTACATTTGAAACCTATGGACCTCGGGTTTTAGCGCTCTGAAGCGTTAAAACCTGGGACGGAATGCGGACTCCTCTGAGCGCCTTACCTTCCGAGCGCCTGGTCGAATTCGTGATCTACGAGATCCACGCTGCGCTTGGCGATTTCGACGCGCAGAACCATGGTGTCCGCATGCTTTAAGAGCACCTTGCTGTTGGAATGTGCCTGCCGCGCCGCTTCCTGAAGCCGTCTGCACAACTCTCCCAGCGAATCCAGCTGCACCTCCATCGAGGGCGATTCATCGTCTTCCGTTGACATTTTTCCCTTATCTACGCTTTGCTGCTGTCTTGTTTAAAATTTATTATGCTCCGGGTTGAATGTACGGATATAAAGAAAGCTACTTTGTTGTTGGCACTATCGGCTAGGCGCGTTAGGGTTTTGATGGTTGGTAAGGGAATGGTTGCTGCCTCAACAAATGCTGAATGGAAAAGGGTTGGTTGGCTTTCAACAAGTTGTTGGGATGGGCAGGGAGGGGAGGGGAAATGTGTCCAGTCCAGACAGCACCACGACCCTTTGACAGACAGTTATGGAACTGCCTTTGCACGAGCGAGGCTTGTGTTTGGGATGGGGTTGGAAAAAAAAAAAATGGTCTGTTGCCGCTGGTGTGAAATGATGGTTTGTAGTACTTGTGCCTCCGCTGTGATGGTGCGATGCTGCTGCAGTTGCTTTGGTTGGTTTGTTTGTTGGTTGGCTGGTTTGGTTTGTTTGCCCAGTCACACCTTTTCTGACTGGGGGTGTACAGTAAAAACTTTTTCCGGGGACCAGGCGGGAATGACGGATCGCGCTACGAATTGCCTTCAGGATGGCGTGTTGCTTCTTGTGTGGTTGGCAGCATCCAATCTCAAGAATCGCCAGGCCATTTGAAGAAACGAATCATCTTACACGGTGAATTATCACCGATTGGTAGCAAAGCACCACCCCCGAATTTTGTCCTATGTTTGTCCCCATAAGACTATTGGGTGTACAGTGTCGCCAAATCTAAAACAAGTACAGTACAGTAGAACAATTGCGGTGACGATCCAGCGACGACTTCCAGGGCTGTCAGCGACGACGACTTTCTGGAAAGCGGTTGGTAGGCTGGGACGACTTAGACGACGACCGTGAACAAAAACCGGCAGGTTTGACGTTTTCTTGCAAAAAAAAATCGGTTCAGTGTACTGTAGTTTCTAGTTTTGAACAGTTTTGTTCTTCTGTTGTTCCGACACCATTCTTGCACGGAGCTCAGACGCTTCTGAAACTGACACCACCACCTCCCTCCTGTAAGCTCAGATTGGGGGGGGGGGACTTTACAGTACGATGATGCGCCCTAGCTAGCCCAGATCCTGACAGGAAAAAGGGTGTACTAGGTCTGTGGAGGGCGGTGACCATGATGTCTACAGTCGGTGAAACAAGTCAATCGGAACAGTGAGCAAGAAAAAGAAATTCGGGCAGGGCTGCCCGTGATACGAATCGTTTGATCTGGCAGGACAAAAGGGACGCAGATTGATGAAATCATGAAACCGAGCAACAAGGTTGACTGCGGAGCGGATGCCCGGATCGAATCGAGTGCACACGCCAGACCAGACCAGACCCACCCCACACACACACGAAACGCGGGACGGAACAGAACATGCCGTGCTTTGGCACGTGCATGAAAGCATACTGCTTTGGCTCTGACCTGCCTCGTGTTTACGCGTCCCTGGATGTACACCTTGTTGTGAAGCTCATTTCGTTCATAAAAAACTGCTTCTGACTTTGAGCCTCACCTCCATTCACTAAACAAAATTACACCACTTGTGAAAAGAAGAACGAGGAATGATCTCATTGAGCAGCATGAGGAGTACAAGTACCAAACCCTAAAATGTTGTACCCCATATAAGCTACCCCACTACAGCCTACACAAACTCTAGTGTATGAGTTTGACACACCCCCATAGGCAAAGTGGGGGAGAACAAGGGGTCACAAGACCAGTCAAGCAAAGCAAGGCAAAGCAAGCTCAGGGTGGATCACAACGTCACCACACAGTCTGAGCGCAAGTTCAAGGCCACAAGGCCAGTTCACATGCAAGATTACATATATATAACGCTAAACAAGCAAGGGCAATTATATATATGTAACAGTACAAGCAAGGTCAAGAAGTAAGCAAGTGAGGCAAGGTAGGCACAAGACCTAACAGAGTACAGAAGCGCTGATGATCACAAGGCGCGAGTGCCTTAGTGAAGATATCAGCAGTGTTGGCCTCAGAGGCCACGTAAGCAAGGCGCAGCTGACCACGCTGCTGCAGCTCACGAGCAAGGAAGTAGCGAAGAGCGATGTGCTTCGTTCTGTGCTCCAGTCTGTGCTCCCGACACAAGGCCAGCATGGCCTTGTTGTCTACGTACAGCACTGGAGGAGAACGAGGCGGCTCTCCCAGGTCAGTCAGCAGGTAGGTGAGCCAGCGTGGCTCCTGTGCAGCCATGGCCCCTGCGTAGATCTCAGCCTCACAACTGGAGCCGAGAACAGAAGACGAGCGGGTAGACCGCCACGAAACAGAGCCGGAACCAAGACTGAAGGTGTAACCCTGTGACGACCGCTGCGTAGCCTGGTCGTCAGCCCAAGAAGCGTCTGCGTGACCAGTGAGGACCACTGGACTCTGCCCTCCAAGCACAAGCCCCATGCTCGACGTACTGCACAAGTAGCGCAACACCCTCTTCGCTGCAGCCATGTGCTCTGGTCTGTGTCTCCCAGGAGCAACATAGCGTGCCAGAATGCTAAGAGGGTATGCAAGGTCAGGTCGAGTGCAGGTCATCAGGTACATGAGGCAGCCAACAAGCTCTGGGTACGGGCCACTCGACTCTACGGACTCATCCGAAGGCAGAGCTGAGTCGGTGGGGTCGCGGGCGGCTGCGACGAAGCCGCGAGGGGCGGCGCCGGGGTCGCGAGGGTGGAGCCGCGGGGGTAGGGCGACGGGGCCAGCCGTGGCGGCGCCGGGGCCGGTAAGAGCGGCGCCGGGGCCGCGAGGGTGGGGCGACGGGGTCGCGAGGGCGGCGAGAAGGGGCCGCGAGGGCGGCGCGAAGGGGCCGCAAGGGCGGCGCGACGGGGCCGCGAAGGGCAGCACACCGAGCGCGCCTCGGGCAGGGGCGACGCGCGCCCCGGGCAGGAAAAAAAGGGTGGGCCCTAGGAGAAGTTCCCACTAGGGAACCTGCTCTATACCATGTGAAAAGAAGAACGAGGAATGATTGCATTGAGCAGCATGAGGAGTACAAGTACCAAACCCTAAAATGTTGTACCCCATATAAGCTACCCCACTACAGCCTACACAGACTATAGTGTATGAGTTTGACACCACTCTCTCTAGATACTGAAATGGCCTAGTCAAGTAGAATGGGACTTCCAAAGGATAAGATTGTAGGATCAAACCCCAGTGCCGGCGAGTTATGCCAGCCCCCTAGAAGGGGGTTTCGCACTGCTCGTTTGGGAGTTGATATTTCTTACTTCGATATTCAGCGAGGCGTGTAAGCAAGTGGGTAGGCAGATTGCGATCGACAGCCAGGGTAATACCAAAGGGGGTTTCCCCTAAAACCTTTACCTTTACCATTCTCTCTCTAGAATTACATTGGCTGTATGAACTAAAAAGTTTGTATAGCACCAACGCGTCCAAAACGATGCTATCAAACTGCATACAAGCGTAAGTTGCCACACTCAAACTGTCAGAATTAT